GGGTTGTTAACCAATGTCATAAAACAGCATGTGTGTTACTGTTACATGAGAAACTATCTGTTCTGTAAGCCTTCACCTGAAGCACAATAAAATATTAAAAAAAAAAAAAAGAAGTAGATTAGCAGGGCTTTGACCCATAATTTTTCCTGCTCCACTTAGTGTTCCTCTTCACCTACATTTTAAAAATTCGGGCCCATTCAGGTTTTGCTTTGTCAGCCATGATGTAAAGAGGGTCAGATGATATGTGCATAGACAATGGGATGTGTTATAGGAGAGAAATCCTGACCTTAGGGAACCCATATTTTTATAATGGACAGTAAACCTGCCTAACCTTTGCTGCAGAGGGAGATGTTATTTTGTTTATTGGAAGCTGAGGAAAGAAGGAGTCCTGTGTTCTGTGCTTTTCTTGGCTTCACTCACTCAGAATAGAGCTTGCATCTTGCTGAACTGGAAGGGGGAAGGGAAAGAGTGGGCCATGTTTCAAATGCCACAGACTCTTGCTGTTGTTATAGATTTTTAGTAGATTTTCTTCAATAAATATTTCATTTGCTATATAGTCTTAGGATAACTTCCAGAAAATTTTAAACATTTATGTACATGTATATGTATATATATATATGTATATATATATATGTATATGTATATATATATGTATATGTATATATATATGTATATGTATATATATATGTATGTAATTTTCATCAGTTATGGTTGTTTTGCTGGGGAGATGGTTCACAGGACTCTTCATGCTGCCATTCCAGAAGTCATCTCCTGGCCCCCACTTTTTGTTTTTGAAGGTCCTGCCCTATGTCTAAGTTGTGTGGCCCATAGACCTGGTGGGGTGTTAATTTGCTTCTTGGCAGCTCTACCATCACCTATGGCCGTAGGGACCTGTGCATCCTACACTCCTGTTATCCTTATGTCCCAGGGTCCTGCTACGGCCTGATCTTCTACCTCAAATCAAGAGAAAATTGTGAAGGATAAAGTTGCAAAGTTTCAGGCTGACATTCCCAGAGTCAGATCTAGAATATAAAGTTAATTAATTCTGATTAAGAAAAAAACACTGCCATTTAATTGATTCTGACTCACAGCAACCCTGTAATACAATCTGAAATCTCGCGACTTCTATTTGAATTGTGCAAATAAATCAAGGGAAAGCTGGTTTTGTCTTGAACTATCAATTTCTAATGGGAATATCCCTCTATAAATGGTTAAGGGCATATATTTTAGAGTCAAACTTGGCTCAACTGTTTTCCAGTTGTGTGCCCTTTGGCAAGTTGATTAACTTTTCTTGAACCTAAGTTTCTTCATCTTTATTTGGGGTGACTGCAGGAGAAAGATGTGGCAGTCTGCTTCCATAAAGATTATAGCCTTGGAAACTCTATGGGGCAGTTCTGCTCTCTCCTATAGAGTCAGTGTGAGTTGGAATCAACTCGACGGCAACAGGTTTTTTATATGGGGGTCAATATTTTCCTTAATAGGATTACTACAAAGATTAAATAAAGTGCTTTTTGTAAAGTGCTTCTCACATTAGCAAATACTCAGCAAATGAGAACTAATGCTGTTATTTATACTGGGGAAACACTTTTTGGCAAAGGGACATCACAAAGGATTTTTAAATATGATTTTCTTTCTCTAGAAATTATAATAAGAATTCCAGAGTAGTATAATACTACATTTGAGCCTTAATCCATGGGAACCACAAATGTTCCAGAGATCCATGTCTGGGAAACAACATCCTTTTGGAAGACATGAGATAATGTGTGGAAAATAAGGGTGATATATGTGCAAAAATGTATTGATGGCATTCTGTACAAAATGAAGGTAGGAGATGAGTATGATAAAAGACAAGTGTTTGTAAAGTTTATCTCTGGTGTACGTGCCATTCTGTTATTTTACCCTCAACTTTCCTATCCCACTCTTCTCTTTTCTCACTGCTTTGTCACTCTGGTTCTGCTACACTTGGGTTTCTTATGAAGAAGAAGGAGTTGCCACCACAGTAGAAATATTCTACTTTCCACAATCAATTAGGTTAAGAATATGGTTCATCCCTGAAGTTTATCCATACCCTGAGGAGTCAGCTCTATTCAAAAGTTAGAGCTCTGTGTTTAAAGAAATTAACATATGCCAATGAATTAATTAAACAGGCACTTAATGGGGCAAGAGTGTTCTAGGCACTGGAGATACCTTGGTGAACAAGATGGACAAAGAGTTCATGAAGCTTCTGTGAGTTAATGTTATGTAGCTGTTAAAGTTGTTACAGTTTTTGGAAAAAAAAATTTTATTATGGAAATTGTCAAACATATATAAAAGCAGGAAGAAACCCCCAATGTACTTATCACTCAGGTTCAACGATTATCAACACATAGCCAAACTTATTTTGTCTGTAACTCCTCTACTTTAGACTTTCTGAAAGGCACAGTAAAGATGCTGTGATTTTAGTCTATATGATCCCTTCACTGGCATGGGATTAAATAACCAGGACACAGCTCTTAATTCTTTCAATCTTGGCATCATGAGAATAGCTTTTGTAAGGATAAATACAAATAGAAAAGAAGGAAAAAAAATTGTTTTTTTTTTTTGCTTTTCCCTAATGCAAAAGGGAGATAACTCTCCCCTTTCATTTTTTTTTTTTTTTTGGTGGGGGGGCATTTACTTTAGAAACCTTGTAACTGTAAATTCTTTCTTTACCTCTTTTTACAAGCTCCTCTTGAAAGTCTAAGTAAGCTTCTTGCCAGTTTTACAACCCAGGAATATGTCCTCAAGGACCTGGGAGCCATGTCTTTAAAATGTGATCAGGAAGGAAGTCAGCTCCCCTGTCTCTCAGCTTCTGTGGGAGGATAAGAGCCTATCTTCAGCAGGCTGCAAGCTGTAAAACTACCTCCTGTTATAAATACATGAGTTTATTTTTTCTTTGGATAAAGGCAAGTAACAAACACTGGTGCCTATCCCAATAACCAGGAAAATTTAGGATAAACAATGTGTGACAAATGGAGCTGTCAGGTCCTCTTATTTGAGGACTAGTTACCATTTACCTTGAGAACGTGTACAAAATAGGTTGCATTTACTTCGTTATATAAAGGGTGAAATTTCTTTGTCTTTTGCAGTCTCTTTAGCGATTGCCTATCATGCATCACATTCTGGTTTAATGCTTATTCAATAATAAACTTCTTTCTTTTTACCTTTGTGGAGAGGTTTTCTGGGTTGGGAGAAGATTATTATTATTATATTTTCCTAGCACTTACCTGCTTCTCAGGAGGCTAGCTTCTCACGAGAAGCTCAGGAGTACCCAGTCTTTACTCTCTCAATGGTGCACTGAGAGCCAGTAGAAAATCTGATTGGCCTTCTTCTCTGCTGCCCACGTACAGCTGCATCGTCCCTGCTGCATGATGAATTTTGGGGATGAAATTAAACTTGGTAACCCAACAACCTGGTATGATCAACAACCTTGGCCCATGATGGGGTACGACTCTCTCTATGCAGCTAATTCTAGCCCTGGCAACCAGGCCTTAAAAACTCATCATGTATAGTCATGAGCTCCACCCAACACAGTGGGCGTGACCTTGGTACAAATGTAAAGGATTTCACTCCGTATGGGCCTTGACTCAGCTTTCTTCTCTAGTAACTCAGCATTTTGCCATGTCACTTGCTCCCAGTCACTCCCCTAAACACGACTGCCATCTCCACAGCTGCACTGGCTTAGGTCCTGGCCTCTCCCCAACTCTGAGGAGGAAAGAGTCCTGCCCTCTGTTATTCCGAGGCCCACACCCATTTCTTTTCTTCAGGTGAGTGATACTTCTTTTAATGGCAAAACTACCCTGTTAGGTGAAATAAGGTTTAAATCACCACTCACTGCCATCGAGTCCATTCCGACTCATAGTGACCCCATAGGGTTTCCAAGGCTGTTAATCTTTATGGAAGCAGATTGCCATATGTTTCTCCCTTGGAGTGGCTGGTGGTTTCGAACCACTGACTTTTCAACTAGCAGTGGATCGCTTTAACCACTGTGCCACCAGGGCTCCTGAAATAAGGTTGAAGGAAAAAAATTCATCCACAAAATTGCATGTATACTTTGATCTCAATTTTTAAAGAAAAATAAATTCAAGAGAAAAGCCTAACAGTAAATACACCAAAATACTAGCAAGGTTTGACCAAGTGTGTTAAGATTTGGAGTATTTCTAATCACTTCTTTAGTAAGTTATATAATATTCAAAATTTTCTAAAATTAACATTATTTTGACAATCAGGAAAAAAATTAGACAGAAAACTAAAACCCTTTCCAAAGTCATAGCATTAAACATTGTAAACAAGATTAAAATGATATTAAGAATTTCATAAGACCTGTTGGCAGAGGAGTCCCTGGCTGGTGCAAACGATTAACACGTTCAGTTGCTAACCAAAATGTTAGAGGTTTGAGTCCACCCAGAGGCACGTTGGAAGAAAGATCTGGTGATTTACTTCTGAAAAGTCAACCACTGAAAACCCTATGGAGCATAGTTCTGCTCTGACAAAGCACAGTCACCATGAGTCAGAATCAACTCAATGGCAGCTAGTCTTTTTTATTGGCCTAAGGCTTGTTCAAAACTCTGTTATAATAGACATGACACTGTGAAATGGTCTGGTTAAAAAAATTGGCCAAAAATACTTTTGGAATATGATTGTACGTGTGTGTGTGTGTGTGTGTTTCCTTTTGATTTTAGAAGTAATATGTGTCCGTTTTAGAAAATAGAGAAAAGTGCATAGAAAAACATACTGTGGCAGCCGTGGAGTTGTGTCGCTTCCATCACCCTTTAATAAGGAACAGGTGTGAGGAGTAGAGTTAACTGACAGCCCCCAGCTACCACACCTTTGGGATTCTCTGCATCACCAACCAGAGACCACGCCTCCATCCTCTGCCATGCCCCCTGTACCCTTCCCTGCCAGCCGGTGGCTGAGTCCGATAGAGGTGCTTCAACCAGGTCATTTCTGCCTGTCACCAGACTCCTCTAACTGAGAAGAATGTTCATTTACAGTTTTGACCCAGGGCTCTGTTAATTATTCCCTTTTAGATCATAATATAATCTAAAGAAATTTGTACTTTCTCAGCATCCTGAAGAACATTACACTGATCCTTTATATTGATTACATCATTCAGAATGGACAGGATGCACAAGAGGCAACTATTATGCTAGAGGCCTTGATAAGACAAATGAGAACAGAGGGAGAAAACCATATATTGTGAATAGAGTTTGCTCTTTTTTTCCCCCAAATCTTTTCTTTTTCCTCAACGAAGTTTTATGGTTTTCACCATATGATCTTGCACAATTCTTGTTAGGTCCACACTTAGGTGCGATGCTGTTGTGCATGTATTTTTCAATTGCATTTCAATTACATTTTGTATTTCGTTTTTCTGGTATGTAGAAGAGCTATCCCCCATATATCTGTTAGTTTGTCATACTGTGGTAGTTTGCATGTTATTGTGATGCTGGAAGCTATCACTGGTAATTCAAATACCAGCGGGGTCACCCATGGCAGGCAAGTTTCAGTAGAGCTTCCAGACTAAGAAAGACTAGGAAGAAGGACCTGGCGATCTACTTCTGAAAGAGTTGGCCACTGAAAACCTTATGAATAGCAGTGTAACATTGTCTGGTATAGTGCTGGAAGATGAGCCTCTCAGGTTGGAAGGCACTCAAAATACTACTGGGGAAGAGCTGCCTCCTCAAAGTAAAGTCGACCTTAATGACGTGGATGGGGTAAAGCTTTTGAGACCTTCATTTGCTGATGTGACACGTCTCAAAATGAGAAGAAACAGCTGCAAACATCTATTAATAATCGGAGCATAGAATGTACGAAGTATGAATTTAGGAAAATTGGAAGTCGTCAAAAATGAAATGGACCAAATAAACAGAGATATCCTAGGCATTAGTTAGCTGAAATGGACTGGTATTGGCCATTTTGAATTGGACAGTCATATGGTCTGCTATGCCGGGAATGACAAATTGAAGACGAATGACGTTGCATTCATTGTCAAAAAGAACATTTCAAGATCTAATGTACAACACTGTCAGTGATAGGATAATATCCATAACCTACGAAGAAGACCAGTTAATATTACTATTATTCAAATTTACTCACCAACCACTAATGCTGAAGATGAGGAAATTGAAGATTTTTACCAACTTCGGCAGTCTGAAATTGATCAAATATGCAATTGAGATGCATTGACAATTACTGGTGATTGGAATGTGAAAGTTGTAAACAAAGGAAAAAGATCAGTAGCTGGAAAATGAGGCCTTGGTGGTAGAAACAATGACGAAGATCACATTATAGAATTTTGCAAGACCAATGACTTCTTCATTGAAAATACCTTTTTTTCAAGAATATAAACAGCAACTGTACATGTGGACCTCACCAGATGGAATATACAGGAGTCAAATTACTACATAAGTGGAAAGAGACGATGGAGAAGCTCAATATGATCAGTCAGAACAAGGCCAGGGGCTGACTACAGAACAGACCATCAACTGCTCATATGCAAGTTCAAGTTGAAGATGAAGAAAATTAAAGTAAGTTCACAAGAGCTAAAATATGATCTTGAGTATTGCACCTGAATTTAGACCATCTCAAGAATAGATTTGACGCTTTGAACACTAATGACCGAAGACCAGCTGAGTTGTGGAATGACATCAAGGACATCATACATGAAGAAAGCAAAAGGTCATTAAAAAGATAGGAAAGAAAGAAAAAACCAAAATGGATGTCAAAAGAGACTCTGAAACTTGCTCTTGAACATAGACTAGCTAAAGTGAATGGAAGAAATGATGAAGTAAAAGAGCTGAAAAAAAGATTTCAAAGCGTGACTTGAGAAGACAAAGTAAGGTATTATAATGAAATGTGCAAAGACCTGGAGTTAGAAAACCAAAAGGGAGGAACTCACTAGGCATTTCTCAAGCTGAAAGAACTGAAAAAAAAAAAAAAAATCATCCTTAAGTTGCAATTTTGAAGCATTCTGTGGGGAAAATATTAAACGACACAGAAAACATCAAAAGAAGATGGAAGGAATATCAAAAGAAGATGGAAGGAATACACAGTCACTGTACCAAAAAGAGTTGATCAACATTCAACCATTTCAGGAGGTAACATATGATCAAGAACCAATGGTACTGAAGGAGGAAGTCCAAGCTTCACTGAAGGGAATGGCAAAAAACAAGGCTCCAGGAATTGATGGAATACCAGTTGAGATGTTTCAACAAACAGATGCAGCACTGGAAGTGCCCACTTGTCTATGTCAAGAAATTTGGAAGACAGCTTCCTGGCCAACTGATTGGAAGAAATCCATATTTGTGCCCATTCCAAAGAAAGGTGATCCAACAGAATGCAGAAATTATTGGATTTTGAAAGATGTTTACCTGTGTTTTATTGACTATGCAAAGACATTCGACTGTGTGGATCGTAACAAATTGTGGATAACATTGCAAAGAATAGAAATTCCAGAACACTTAATTGTGCTCACGAGGAACCTATTCATAGACCAAGAGACAGTTGTTTGAATAGAACAAGGGGATACTGCGTGTTTTAAAGTCAGGAAAGGTGTGTGTCACGGTTATATCCTTTCACCATACTTATTCAATCTGTATGCTGAGCAAATAATGCAAGAAGCTGGACTATATGAAGAAGAACGGAGCATCAGGCTTGGAGGAGGACTCATTAACAACCTGCAATATGCTGATGATACAACTTTGCTTGCTGAAAGTGAAGAGGACTTGAAGCACTTACTGATGAAGATCAAAGACCATAGCCTTCAGTATGGATTACAACTCAACATAAGGAAACAAAAATCCTCACAACTGGATCAATAAGTAACATCATGATAAACGGAGAAAAGATTGAAATTGTAAAGGATTTCATTTTACTTGGATCCACAATCAACACCCATGGAAGCAGCAGTCAAAAATCAAGCGACGTATTGCACTGGGCAAACCTGCTGCAAAAGACCTCTTTAAAGTGTTAAAAAAGCAAAGATGTCACTTTGAGGACTGAGGTGCACCTAACCCAAGCCATCATATTTTCAGTCGCCTCATATGCATGCAAAAGCTGGACAACGAATAAGGAAGACTGAAGAATTGATGGCTTTGAATTATGGTGTTGGTGAAGAATATTGAGTATACCATGGACTGTCAGAAGAATGAACAAATCTGTCTTGCAAGAAGTACAGCAAAATGCTTCTTAGAAGCTAGGATGGTGAAACTGCATCTCATGTACTTTGAATATGTTATCAGGAGGGACCAGTCCCTGGAGAAGGACATCATGCTTAGTAAAGTAGAGGGTCGGCGAAAAAAAAGTAGACTCTCAAGGAGATGGATTGACACAGTGGCTGTAACGATGGGCTCAAGCATAACAATTATTGCGAGAATTGCACATGACTGGGCAGTGTTTTGTTGTGTTTTACAAAGGGTTGCTATGAGTTGGAACGGGCTCGATGACACCTAACAACAACAACAACAGAAGAGCTATTGAATGCTTTTTAATGTTGATACTGTATCCACCAAAACCTTGTTCAGCTTCCTTATTATTTCTAATAATTTTTCAGTTTATTCTTTTGAGTTGGCTATGTAATCAAGCATATTATTTGAAAATAACAAGACTTTTGCATCTTTCTTTAGATGCTTTATTTCTTTTTCTTGTCCTGTTGCATATGATGGACTTTCAGAACACTGCTGAATACCAGCAGGGATAGTAGGCATCCTAGGCTTATTCCTAATTTTAATGGAACTACTTCTGTGTTTTATATTTCACTATTAAATATGGCGTTTGCTGAATGTTTCTGATAGATACCTTAAAAAATATAGACTTTATATATATATATATATATGGAGCCCTGGTGGCACAGTGGTTAAGCACTTGGCTGCTAACCGAAAGCTCAGCAGTTTGAACCCACCAGCCGCTCCGTGGGAGAAAGATGTGGCAGTCTGCTTCCACAAAGATTTACAGCCTAGAAAACTCTATGGGGCAGTTGTACTCTGTCCTATAGGATCACTATGGGTCAGATATATATATATATATATATGTATGTATATATAACATATGTATATATATATGCCAATAATGGCCTCTGTACCCTCTAAAGTAATTTATCATTTTCTTCTGTAACTCCTATTAGACAGATGTAGGAAGTTTTTTTAATCTGTCCTCCCTATTTTTATTTCACACTTTTCATCTCTTTATCTATTTTTGCAACTTTCTAGCAAATTCATTAGCTCAGTATTTTAGCTCACTGATTTTTTTTCTTTAGCTATGTCTGTTATCCTATTTTGTAGCTGTAGTAGCTTTTCATTCTGATGTTCAAACTTTTAATTTCCCAGCTCTCTAGATGAAGCTTTTAAAAAATGGATATATACCACCTTGAATTTATCTAAGGTTATTATCAATACTAATTCTAAATCTCACTTAATTTGCTTTGTTAATTATGTTTACTCTGGGAGAAGTTCTAACTTTTAAATTAGCCCTTGGCTCTTTTCATATATTTGGTGACTCTCCATTGTATATTTTTTTATTTGAGTGCCTCTTTTAGTCCCTGTATGGAGCCCTGGTGGTGCAGCGATTAAGTGCTCAGCTGCTAACTGAAAGGTTGATGGGTACAGCCACTCTATGGAAGAAAGATGTGGCAGTCTGCTTCTGGAAAGATTACAGCTTTTTAAACCCTGTGGGTCAGTTCTACTCTGTCCTGTAGGGTCACTGTGAGTTGAAATCAACTCCAAGGCAACATGTTTGGATTTTTGGTTTCAGTCCCTCTAACTTCCATATCTGCATTCCAAACCTCCCTTCACTGACTTTAAGAAGACATGGGACTCACAGCAGGGTGGAGTGCACTGTTAGCTGTCCTCTAGATGAAGGTGCTTCCCTGTCTTCCTAGATGTCACCAGCTTCCTGTACAGCCCAGACTCTCCAAGCAAGAGTCTACACTTTCTTCTCACAGCTGGGAACAGATATCCCTATTGTTTGCTTTCTGGACCATGGAAGGGGCTGACTAGCTTGGCTCCTCTTCCTCCCATTCCTGGGCATTCACCCTATTAGTTGCTCCAGGTCCCCTCCTCCTACTGTCTGCCAACCCTGCGCTTGGAGCACTTGTGGATCCCCTTCACGTTTGCAGCAGTCCTCCTTTACATAGGTTTTGGGGTGTGGCTCCCTCTGTCTTCTTTTAGGAATGTTTCAGTCTCTGGTCCACTGAGGCTACTTCTTCTTTTATTCCAGCATAAGTATAACCCAACTCATTGCCGTCGAGTTGATTCTGACTCATAGCAACCCTATAGAACAGAGTAGAACTGCCCCCTGAGGTTTCCAAGGAGAGGCTGGTGGATTTGAACTGCCCGCTTTTTAGTTAGCAGCTGTAGCACTTCACTACTGGGCCACCAAGGCTCCAGCATAAATACAGAGTTTTTTAAAAAACTCATCTTCTCTGTTATTTCTAGAAATCTAGACACAAGACAGAGACTGCAGCATGAACTAGGTCTGCCATCTTGATCCAATCTTCTTAATTTACATGTTTATTTGAATATTTTCTCCTCTTGATCACCTAACATTTTGATTCTAATTTGCTGGTACCATGCGTGGGTTGGCTTAGGTGGCTTTGATGATCTATGGGCTCCCTGAAATTATAAAGCAAAATGTTGTATATTTGCAAACATGTGCATTTTCCTGGGGCATGGGCTAATAGTTATTATTTTCAAAGAAAAGTCATGAACCAAAAAACAAAAAAGAATTTTTTTTTGACTGCATGAAAACAAGAGACAATAAGATAATGATTTCAGAATTTTAGGTCTGTGTGGAATTTTAGATTCCCTTTTAAGTATTATTTTAGGACCTGAGCACCTTTGTTCCAAGGAGGAAAAAAAGCAGGAAACTATGACAGCCTCAGCTGATTTTTCACATAGGTTTGGAACTGCTTTATCGGAGCAACAACCTGTGGCATCACTTTTTGTCAAAACGAGAGGAAACGTAAAGAAAAATGCAGCTAGTGAACATCTGAGCCGGCAGCTCTCGCGGAGTCCCAAGGCATGTGCTCAGCCCTGTCAGTGGAAAGCAGCTGGGTGCTAGTTGCTTTGCCTTTTCAATCATTTGCTTCTCTTGACAATGCCTTCTCACAGAGGCCTCTCTGCAGGTGTAATTGTGATTACAAGTAGAGAAAATTGATAACGGAAAATAATTTAATTATTCTCTTCTCAAATAAGACACAGCGTTGTTAAATATGTGGGGGAACAAAATAAAACAATCTCAGCATGTGGATGAACAGCATCTTGTTAATAATTGCGCTTGGGATTCTGTAAACACAGTGAATATGAGGTCAAGTAGCATGTGGTTTTTTGGAGACTGTTTAATTGATCCTTATCGACAGCCTACAAACAGGGCCTAAACAGTGACAACGGTGGATAATGGGACATAGTTTGGATTGAAGGAGACAGTAACTTTGCTAACCTCAAGAATAATCAAGGAAACGCCTGGATTTCATATGTAACACTGGAGGGAAACAGCAGTGGCCAGAAAGCTGTTGTTTCTCTGCCTGGCTTTTTTGCAGAGTCTGAGGAATTCGCTTGGGGGTTTTTGAGAAATTCTTGTGGTGCTTAATGATATAATTGGGCAGAGTTTTTTTTTATAGCTCTGCTTGCCTTCCAGATGCTAATGATTCTCTGAGCAAGTTGTCTACAGTTTTCCTTCACATCTTCTCTGAGAAGGTCCATACATGTAAATAACCTATTAAAAAGTATACTGCACTCTTTCTCCCTTTCTCCACCATCATGGTATATGTGGTCGACTTCCATCTTCGCCATGTCTTCTCACAAGACTTTCAGAATCAGGAGATTCCTGGCCAAGAAACAAAAGCAGAATCATCCCATTGCCCAATGAATTGGAATGAAACCAGTTAATAAAATCAGGTAAGACCCCACGAGCAGACATTGGAAAGGAGCAAACCTGAGTCTAAAAGGAGTCGCACATGTGATGGCCTGCATTTTATGCTCTATCAAGTTCATGAGAGTTTCATCATATCCAGCTGAAAATCTCCCAACTGTCTGAACAACTGGACATGCTTTACTAGGAAAATTCTGAGGTTTTTCCTTCCCCCCCTTTATTGTTAATGCTTCCGCATTAATAGGTTCAGTTAAATATGTGAAACCTTTTGTTTGGAAGGGGCCCTGGTGGCACAGTGGTTAAGAGCTCAACTGTTAACCAAAATGTCAGCAGTTTGAATCCACCAGTGGCTCCTTGGAAACCCTATGGGGCAGTTCTACTCTGTCCCATAGGGTCGCTGTGAATCCAGATTGACTCAACGGCAGTGGGTTTGGTTTGGTTTTGGTTTGGCTAGATAAGAGATGGGAGGTTTGGGTTTTTCTGTTTGGTTGGTTGGGTTTTTTTGTTGTTGTTGTTTGGAAAAAAAGAAAGAAACATACTGCCAAAACCCATTGCCATCGAATCGATTCCAACTCATAGCTACCCTATAGGACAGAGTAGAACTGCCCCATAGGGTTTCCAAGGAGCAGCTAGTGGATTTGAACTGCTGACCTTCTGGTTAAGGTCAGCAGCCAAACGCTTAACCACTGTGCCACCAGGGCTCCACAGTATACTACAGGGAACACCAAGTCTCCAGCCTCTTTTCTATTCTGGAGGCACTCAGATTAATCATCATGCTGCCATTTGCCTCCCTGAGCACAGAATACAGATGCCTAAGCAGGTAGTGGGGGAATCCACCAGCCAACTCCTTAGAGATTCCAGAGTCTTCACAGGTATAACCATGGGTTCTTGGTTAGGGGCTGAACCAGCCCCAGGAAAGATTTGTCACCCCGAGAACTTTTGCCTCTATCCATCCTTCCCATTCCTTAAGGGCTCTGCCCACACTTAGCCCCGCCCATCAGCAGCCTCAGAAGCTGCCTGCAGAGGAAATTGGCAGAGCTTCAGCCAAGTGCACAGCCTGGGGAAAACTAAGTATGTCCCTGTGCATTCTAGATCCCACCCACTTCGCCCACCTCTAAGCAAACCCTCTTCTGGAAGTTTCACAGTTTGAGGTCAGCTTTGACTGAGGAGTGGAAGTGAGCCTCTGAAAACACACCCTCTTCTAGAAGTTTCACAGTTTGAGGTCAGCTTTGACTGAGGAGTGGAAGTGAGCCTCTGAAAACACATATTTCTGACCCCAGAAGTATAGGGCTGGAAGAGTGAGAAAAGGAGACTGGGGTGTTTTAAAAGCCATTTCTGATGAAAAAAAAAACAAAAAACAAAAAACACACAAACTCGTTGCCGTGGAGTTGATTCTGACTCATTGTGACCCTATAGGACAGAGTAGAACCGCCTGTTTCCAAGGAACGGCTGGTGTATTCAAACTGCCAACCTTTTGGTTAGCAGCCAAGCTCTTAACTCCTGCATCACCTGGGCTCCATAATCACTTCGACGAGTGGTTATCAATTCTGGCTACACATTACAATCACCTGGAGAGCTTTTTCTTCTGTTATTCAGCTTTCCAACTTTCACATAATCCAGAAAGAAAAAAAATAACAAAAACTTTGTATTTCCAGGAGTCTGAAAATTTAGAACATTGATTCTATGAGCATTTGGAATCTTAAGTTGGAACAAAATTTGGAGAGCATGCAGGTGAGGACTGCTGTGCCAGGTAATGGACAGAAGGAACAATGTAAAAATGGTGTAGTGGAGGCATCTGACCTCCTCTGACTTCCCAAGGAGGAAGGAGAATCAAGATCAACAGCCCAAGGCTAATCCCTCTGAGGCAGAGGTCAGACTTAATTTCTCTCTCTGCCAACTTTACCAATTCTGAGACCAACTATCATTTCCACAGCACTGTCTCTACTTCTCCACTGGGGTTCGATAATTCATTGCAATGGCCACACAGAACTCACAGACCATACTCAAAGTTCTGAGGTTTATTAGGAAAGTAACAGGTCACAGTTCAGGTTCAGGAACAGTCAGGATACAATTCTTCCATCAGGACAGCCTCTTCTCAGCCTTGCCCACAGGCTTGCCTCTCTCTGCCCCTTGGCCTCTGCCCTGCTCGGGCAAGCATTACAAAGCTCTTTTAGCTCTGCTGATAAGTGCCCAGAGGCACCCAGTCTGCCAGTAATCCTTGGCCCAGAGGTGCTCAGCTCTAGCTCCATGGGTCACTAAACCTAGCTCCACCACGTGCCCGGAGGTACCCTACACTGCCAGCAAGCCTCCTGCCCAAAGGCACTCAGCTTTCTTCTTCCATGGGCCAGGATGCGCCATCTCCTGCCAGTCTCCTGTGGGTCTTCTGCCTCTGCTGCTGCTGTTTTTCTGCTGCCACTTCTCACCATCTTCAGTGTTACACCTCTCTTTCTCTCTCCCCCAGGAGCTTCTCAGTGCAGGGATCCCAAGTCCAAAGTACTGGCTGCGCTCCTGGCTCTTCTTCCTTGGTGGTGGTGAGATTCTCTCTTTCCACCTCTGGGATGGCTCATTTTAAGCCCAACAGGATGGCAAACCACACCAATCCTCTTGGTGGGCCACAATTACCCTATTTGCACAGTCCCACCCAATCACTTGGGTGGGAGTTACAAGACCATGGCAAGAGAGCCCACACAAAAGCAATCCATTGCAGCACAAGTGTACCATCTGGTTCGAGTCAGGAGATCCCATTTCCTCTCCTGGTGCTGCCACAGCTAACTATGTAACGGGGGGATGAATTCCTTCCCCTATCAGAACTCCTGTTTCAAACACAGTAAAACCACAAAACTGGAAGTAAAACTCTCTGAGTTCCCTACTAGCTTTAACCTACTGTCACTTATTCCTTTGTAGGGCTGGGGAGCTGGGTTTAGAGTCTGGAGAGATCACAGAATATGGATGCCTAGGCAGGTGGTAGGGCACTCCACCAGCTTCTTCTCTTTTTTCACCAACTCCTACTAGAGGCAAAATATCAGCCTTTTCCTCTCACTGCCTAGGAAACACATATTCCCCATTAAAAAGAGGAGAACCATGCTGTCTGTAATATGAATGAGACTTTGGGAAAAAAAATTTTGTTCTCTGAGTTGCTCTGCTATTGTAAGACAGAGCAATGTAATAATAGTGATTTATGCTTACTACTTTGTGTTTTCAAAAGAAGTAAAAGAACTTTATCAACATCATCACCTCCTTCACCCAGTGAATAGAGAATAGACGGGGGAGAAAACCTTGACTATTGTAAAAACTGCCATCCTCAGCAGCCCGGATTAAACACACACACACTCCTTACTTGATCGACTCATTCACTTACTTACTCAACAAATATTACTGAATGTTTACTACATGTTAGGAACCCCCGTGAGGCAGTGGGATACAATGGTGACCATAAACAGAGGGCCCTGCAATCACCAGCATTAGGAAATGGCCTAAATGAGAAGCCATATTGCTCTTGTGATTTAATAAGGCCTTCTGGAAATTTCCATTAAGGAAGAAAAACTGTAGGACAAGGTGGATTCATAAGAAAAAAGCAGACCATCTACAAAAGAGGGTGCTAGCAAAAGGGCCCCAGATTCCAAAGTTCCTGCCATCCTTGGCTTACAAGGTATTTAGTCATAGAGGAGAGTGGGGAGAGGGAGGATAAATGGGTATAATAGAAACAAGAACATCAAGTAGCCCAGAACTGGACACTCTGGGATCTTGTCCCAGTTCTGTCCCTTTCACATCTAACATTTTGGCATTTGGTGATTTGAGGATTGCAACTTCCTTGGTGAGCTGATCGATCTTGACAGAGAACATTTGGTTTCAGTGATGTAATTAGAACAGCCTACAGATGTCTCAGTTTTACAAATGACTTTAAAGACAGAGTGAGGCAAGAGTTGCTAATTTCTTACAAAAATGTAAAAAGCTCTCATTTTTATGTTTGGTTATTAACAAATTCTGAAATACCAGACTCTGTGTTTGGAGAGTCTTATAAAAGAAAATAGCTTGTCTTGATAGTTTGGTATTTCCTCCTTCTAAGTGGATCGTGTCACATTAATCTCAGGGAAAGTTGTTGGCAGCCATTGCATCTATTTTTAACTAAAGGCAAACTGTGGCAAAATTAAAACCAGATGCTGAGCTATGTACTGTCTATGTTCTAATCACTTAATATATAGCTGCTTTTAATACTGGGGTCCCCAGTATTGTATTTCCTGTCTTCCCTCTGGCTATAGGCTTTAATTTGCCTGTGTTGGATATTTTTCCTTAGATAATACCCATCCCAAACTCTCAAGAAGTCAAGAGTTATTCAGTATCCAGCTACTCTGAGAAGCTGATGAAGTATCGCTTGGGGCAACAATGAGATTTTTCAGGGAAGCAATTGGGTCAGAGAAATTTATTTGTTGTAGGTTGTGGGGTATATGGGAGGGTGGGCTTATTGGACACAACAAATATGTCTTCGAAAGGGAGGGGAGGAAAAAAGATCTTTGGGGGCATCTGTTAAGTAACTTTTATTGAGAGACCAGCTCGTTTGGAAAATTCTCAGTACAAAAAATGTACTCACACTAATGATACCACCATTTCCAGAATGTGGGATAATTTTGTGCTTTTAACTCAATGTAATTTTTCTTGTCAGAAAATGCCTTAATATTTTTCTTAGGGTTTTCCATTTTCAGATATTCCTTTTATATTAGCTACGTGTTATGGATTGAATTGTGTCCCCCAAAAATATGTGTTGTAAATCCTAACCCTATAATCCCATTTGGGAATGGATTTTCCTTGTTACGATAATTAGACAATATTAGTGTAGGTGTGTTTTAAGTCAGTCTCTCTTGAGATATAAAAGAGCAGATTAGGCATAAGAAACAAGCAGAGACGGGGGGAAGATAGATGCCATACCACATGAAGATTACCAAGGAACCAAAGAACAAGGACCTTCCCCCAGAACTAATAGAGAAAGCCTTTCTCTAGAGCTGGTGCCCTGAATTTGGACTTCTAACCTTCTAAATTGTGAGAGAATACATTTGTTTGTTAAAGCCACTCAGGTATTTCTGTTACAGCAGCACTAGATAACTAAGACACTACCTCTCAATCCAAGAGCTTCTAACAAGGCATTTTACGTGAGAATTTCTACTGATGCCTTAAAAAATGTAAAATATTTGTAGTATGTAAAGAAATTAAGAGGACAAGGGACCAGCTGGCTTAGAATAAAGAGGAAATGGTAATGAATTATTATTGCTAAGAATTATTGCAAAAAGAAACAGACTTTCTTGTTTGTTTCCTAGAAAGTAATTCAGCAGCATTTATTAAATCTCCAATTTGTACTTCAAATAACCCTTTCCCCATTTTCATTTGTTATAAATTTAACCAGTTCTTCAAGGCCTGACTCAAATGCCACTATCTTTCCTGATTGTTTTTCTTCTTCCTTTCCCATGCCACATCACTGATTTTTGTCTTGTGTTTGTAGATGTTAAAAAAAAAAAAAAATTTACTTGCTGGAAAGTAACTTTTGTGAGACCTCATCTGTCTTGTATACTCAGGGCCTAGAACAGGTACTCAACAAATAATTGATTCCCCACTTGCTGGCCTGTCTTATTAAACTAATAGAGGTGTGCCTTGTTTAGAGCTGCCCCACAGACTGCTGAATCAGTAAAGCCCTGCTCAACCAACTCAGAAAACTCTCAAAGTGCAGGGATGCCCAGGATGGTCCAGTGGGGTAAGGGAAGAAGGCAGAAGGGAAGGTTGGCAGTGATGCTTTTATTGGCTCATTTGTTTTTCATGTATTTTAACCTACAGCATTTTAAGGTACACCCAATTAAGTGGATTATGTTGAAAGGATGGGGATTGACAACAAAAATGTTTTTGTGCTACACAAAGTTACCTATGGTAAAGGCAAGTTTATTGAAAGAGTGATCATACTTAAAGATGAGGCCTATTTTTTCTTTTACCAAAAGGCAAGCGTTACAGGTATTATTCCTTTTTTTAAAGTCGGAGCAAACCTTTGGTGTGTCCCAGAAGCCTCCTGGGAAACCACATGTATACTTCAGACAAAATAACATCGTAACAATTTTATTATGCTGTACTTGGAGCCAGGATTTGGGAAAAGCAATATCAAAAATAACTGTCAAAGAAACATTTTATAGCATCAGTGTATAAACACAAGTCACAGGTGTTTAAAGACAAAACAAGTGTTGGCTGTAAAAATAATCAGAAGAACAATATGTAAGCACAGCAGTATGTAGAAATTAATCAAAATTTGAACTTTTTTAGAAACAGGAGATTTTGGTCAAAATAATGAATCAAGAAATCAGCACAAAACCACAAAGATTTAGGAGCCTCTCAAGAAGTTATGTCTCTATGAGATAAGGAAGTTCTTCTGTTCTCTGTAAAAGCCACCAAGTAAGAAAACTCTTTTTTTTTGTGACTGAATATTCCAGGACCATTTTTCCCTGAAATATTACTAATTTTTTCTTTTTATTATTTATAAGCTTTCTCAGTGTCACAATTCTAATATAACTCTATACAGTGTGTTTAACCATACACAAATACATGTAAATGACATGAAAAGTTTAAGTGTTCTTAATTTTAGCTTTAAAATATATTAACGATGTCAAAAATTTATATGACTATGAGTGCATCGAATTTATCATCATAATTGGAGCTTTGCAAAGATAAAATGTGTACAGTAT